AATATATTTTATTGAATTTTTTACAGAGAGGAAGGGAAAGGAAACATCGATCAGCTGCCTCCTGCACACCCCCCACCAGGGATGTGCCCACAACCAAAGTACATGCCCTTGACCGGGATCGAACCCGGGACCCTTCAGTCCGCAGGCCGACGCTCTCTCCACTGAGCCAAACTGGTCAGGGCCATGGTAATTATTTTTAAGCATAAAATTCAGTGGCACTTACTACATTCACAGTGTTGTACAACTGATACTAGACACAATGAGTCCAACATATGAGCGTTTATTCCAAATATGCCAGCAGTATGGGGAGAGCAGTCGGTCAAGCTGGAAATTCTGCTCTCACTCCCCTCGCCAGTTGGCTGATTATATGTATATGCGTGAGGGAGAAGATAAGTGCAGCAGCTGCAAGCTGCAAGTGTGTGTAGCAAGGAAAGGGGAGGGAAGTCCAGCCTTTAGGAGCTCCAAGTTCTGAAACAAGGTAGTTAATCTTGTATGATGTTACAAACAGCTCAGCCTGTTCCTGGGACCAGAGAATAGTCAGCATTCCTGAGGCAAACTCCCGGAGGGGGTCAGGATGGGGCACAGCAACCAAATCAAAGCCTGTCCTGTCCTTGGTCACTTCACAAAATGTATTTCTTTTCTGAGTAATGGACCCATCTAGGCATCTTATCTTTTTACAGCCTTGTTTCCTCCTCCAGTTTCCCAGGGTCTGTAAGAAAGCCTCTTATCTATAGTTAGTGAGGTGAATAATTATTAAACAACTGTGGCTCTACTCTTATTACATGCCCTTTCCCCCTATCACAACTATCACCACTGTCCATTTGTAGAACTTTCTCATCATTCCAAATTGAAACTCTTTACCTATTAAACAATAGCCCCTAATACACCCCTCATTTTTCTCCTGATAATCTCTATTATACTTTCTGTCTCTATGTATTTCCCTATTCTACATGCCTCATATAAGTGAAATCAGATATTTATCTTCTGTGTCTGATTTATTTAAATTATTTATTTTATTTAAATAAAACCATTTATTTAAATGGTTTTAAGTTTTATCCATGTTATAGCATGTGTCAGAATTTCATTCCTTTTAGAGGTGAAATAATATTCCATTGGGTATATACAACATTTTATTTAACCATTCATCTATTGATAGATACTTGGGTTGTTTCTATCTAATGTGGATAGTGCTTCTAAGAACATTGGTGTACAAGTTTCTATTTGAGTCCTTGCTTTCAATCCTCTTGGGTGTATTCCTAAGAGTAGAATTCCTGGATCATGTGAGAATTCTATGTTTAGCTTTTTGAGGAGCCTCCAAACTGTTTCCATAGCACTGTATCATGTTACATTCTCACCAGCAATGCACAAGGGTTTCAAGTTTTCCCCATCCTTTCTGTTTTGTTCTCTATGATATAAAGTTATCCTAGTGGGTATGATGCGGTATCTCATTGTGACATAATTGTCTACATTTGAACTCTTGAGAGGCAAGGGAATTGAAATTAGGATTTAGCCTGGCCGGTGTTGCTCAGTGGTTGAGCATCAACCTATGAACCAGGAGGTCAGGGTTAGATTCCCAGGCAGGGCACATGCCTGAGTTTTGAGCTCGATCCCCAGTGTGAGGTATGCAGGAGGTAGCCGATCAATGATTCTCTTTCATTGTTGATGTTTATCTCTCTCTCCCTCTTCCTTCCTCTCTCTGAAATCAATAAAAACATTTAAAAAATCAAAGTAAAATAAAAGCAATTTATTTTTTTTAAAGGAAATATTTGTAATGATGTGGGCAGGCTGAAGGCAAACCAGGAAAGGATGGGGGAGCTTCTCTGGGTTAGCAAGAGCCTGAAGAAGCCATAGCCCTTGGGCCTTAGAGGGCAAGTGGAGGAAATAGTTTTTAGAACCCAAAGAATGTAGCTGGAGCTGGAAGAGAGGGCTGCCAGATAGGAATCATGGCCTCCAGAAAGGGACATAGAGACCAGCAGGTAGGGAGCCAGAGAAAGAAATACTTTAGACTTCCTCTCCTCGTGCTTTGAACTCTCTAGCAGTGCCCCCCAGTTGGCCAAATCCAATTGGAAACAACATTAGGCACAATAAGGACCCTCCAAGATGCCCATGTTCTAATCCCTAAAACTTGTAAATATGTTACTTTACAAAGCAAGAGACCTTACAGGTGTGATGAAGAATCTTGAGATGGGGAATGCCCAGGTGGACCCACTGTAATCATAAAGCTCCTTGAGAGTGAAAGCGAGGCAGGCGTGTCAGAGAAAGGGAGAGAGAAAGAGAGGGGGAAAGGAGCAGACTGAAGATGCTCTGCTGCTGAATTTGAAGACAGAGGCCAGGGCCATAAGCCAAGGAATGCAGATGGCCTTTAGAAGCTAGAAAAGCCAAATAAACAGATGCAGCCAAGTCAACACATTGATTTTAGCCTAGTGAAACTCGTTTCAGACTTCTAACAAGTGTGTGTTGTTTTAAGCCATTAAATTTGTGATAATTTGTTATAGCAGCATTACAAAACTAATACAGAAACCAAGGACAAACCGACTGACCCAATCCCATAGACACAGAACACGGTGGGAAGGGACAGGGTGTTGACACATGGGGCAAACAGAAACTACACAGCACATTTTCCACACTTTTTTTTTTCCCCAAAGGTCAACAAGTGAACTTTAATGAATAATTTTGGTAAAAGTGTTTTTGCACAGATATGCAAGTCTAAAGCGTATAAAAATGAACAAAAAGATTCTTTCTCTCCTTAAGTACTTCTTGGTACAGCTATGACTCAGTTTAACTTATCTATTTCAGAGCTTAAAAACCAAGAAACTAACACATTTTTGCAGTTAAACTTGAGACACCTACATTTATTGTCCTAACACTGGACATACTGTAATTTGTTACTCTTATTGATAGGTTTGCCTTTTAAAAGTTTTCCTAGGAAAAAAATATAAGAAAAAAGTAACTATATATATTAGCATCATTCTTTGAACATTATTTAGGAATAACAGAGTCTTAAATATAGCTCAATTTTTAAAAACATTGACAAAATGTTGGAATGTTATTCTTATTTTCAGGATCTCTTTTTGAAAAATACATGAGTATTAAAAAAATAATTTTGTCCTGGCACTGGTAGGATGAACTACATCTATACTGTTCACAAATTCAACACACAACAGTGTCTGCTTTAAAAGAGATCAACACCAACAGGTAACATGAAAAAGAGAAGCGAACTTGTGGAGGTGCATTCATTCCAGTCTACTGTTAATCCCTCTCAGGTTTCACTAGCACATTACTAAAAACAGATATATACCCTAATTTCACAGATATTTAACAATTTAACTTTCCCTACAGATATAAAGTATGCTTACCTCTTTGACAGCTTCAGTCTTAACTGCAAAAAGTGCCCCA